TAGCCACATGTGGGATAGTCTTCAAGTCCTCGGGAGTTGTGTTTGGCTTCGAGCGAATGAATGCTCGAGCCTCTTTTAGGGCATGAAAGTACGAGCCCGTTGCGTATTCGTCCTTGAGAGCTCATTAAAGACGTCAGACTTCTTGAACTCCTCAATTGAGTCGGCCCGAGCTTGAGCCAACCTCCCTTCATAATCCCTATGAATATTTTCAAGCTCCAGCTTCACCTCCTCAGCCTCATCTTTCATCGCGCTAACTTTTTCTCGAGCTTTCATGAGCTCACTATTCATCTGCTCACGCTCTCTTAGCAGCTGAGCGCGCTCGGCCTCAAGATCGACAATTCTTCTATCTCGAGCCGCTAGGGAGTCCTCGAGGTCAACCAGTTTGGAGGACTCATCTTTCCCCTTCAAAGATAGACCTCGAGCGATGCTTAATGTCTGAAAAAAATGGACAAACAGAAGTTTAATAACACCTCGATTAAAAAAGATGTAAAAATACCTAAAATAAGTTCGGATTACATGATCGACGTAGCTTAAGCATCATGGCCTCGAGGGCCCTCATTCCATCATCAAAGCCAATAATTCCTCGGTACTGGTCAACAATGCTCAGCAAAAATTGGCGTCGGGTTTGGTCCTCTGAAGGGACAGAGCATGCTGGCAGAGCCTCATCCTCGAGATCAACCACTTCGACAGGACCTCGAGGATGAGGAACGCTCCGAGGTGTACCCTGAGGGGTTGGGCGCTCAACCCTCTCCCGCTCTATGGTCGGGAATTTTCTCCTTGGCTGTGACGTTTCGCCCGGGCCACTCCTCTATCTCCCGGGCCTTGAATCCCAAGCTCTCTTTTGCCCCCTCCTCTGGCCGGGAGCCCAAGGCTGGGAGACCTTAGACTTCTTGCTAACCGCATAACGTAGGGCAGTAGGGTCAAATGTCATTTCTGCAAAATTAACCGACATTAGCACGAGCACGAGCATTAACAAATATAAGTAGAATAATGAAAACATTGAAAGTGCATATTGTTCACGAAATAATTCTTTCAATTTAAAACTACCGCAAGTGTACGGTTCGTAACAAGTAATAAAGTGGATTTTAAAAAGTCCGAATATCGTCCCTCAGAGATTAAGTAGTTCAATTCTATATAATCTAACCTTAACCAAATCTAATTGAGTGAAAATATGGTCTAAATGCTAAAAGCCCTAATTTCAATTAAGAAACCCTAATTTCAACTAAAAACCCTAATTTCTATTGAAAACCCTGATTTCTCAATTAGAAACCCTAATTTCGAAATTTCTCTAATTAAACGATTTAAACACTCAAGTAAATGAAATTAAGCAAGTTTAAAAGCTAAGTTATTAAAAAGAATCAAACTAAAGTCACTAGGATCACGAATCCCCAATTGAAGTTATAAAAATCCTAATTTCATAAAATTAATGATTCGATGAAAATTTGCCAATTCAATGTCCCTAATTCTATCCAATATACTCTCTCGATATATATTAGACCTATTCTTGCACACCACCAGCCTATATCTCTATGGATGATGCAAACATACAAGAATGCATGTAATTTTGTGAACAATTTAAGAATTACATAAAGTATAGGGGTATATCTCTATCCCCTATCGGATCCTATGTTAATTTACACCTTATCGAACCTATTCCACTTCTCTCGAATGTAAGAAACAAGTCATCAATACTCACACAATCATTGGCCACTAATTGCGGAAGAAAATTAATGCATGTAAATCAATCAAATTATCCAACAAATCTTTCTATTAAGTTCATGAAATATAGAATTAAAACAACAAACAACGGTTCATCAATCACCTAGTAATTGAAAACCTAGCCTAGAAGATTCATAATTATAGAAAACAAAACGAAATTAATGAATAGAAAGAATAACACCCGTATGAAAGTTCTTGAAATCTGAAATCTTGAACAAAACCTTGAAAACCCCTTTGAATCCTTGTGAAATCCACTTCAAGTTCGTGTTCCTTGCCTCCAAAAGTCGTATTCTTCTTCTCCCTGAACGTTCTACCCTAATTTTGATGTATTTTGGCTTTTATATCATGTCCTTACGGAGCCCCGAATTAAAAATGGAAAGTCAGATTTTTTTCCTAAAATAAGGCCATGCAGCCGCATGGTGTTAAACCATGCGACCGCATGGTTCAATTTTTCTCCTCAATGAAAAACCTGCACCACCGTGTGCGACCGCATGGTGTTATTGCATGCGGCCGCAAGGTTGTAAAATTACAACCTTGTCATTTTGGTCTCTAAACTCCGTTTTCTCTTTTCTTGATCTCTTTTCTTTCTTTCCTTTGTTCTATTATCAAATATTGACTCCTAATTGATATTTGAGTCAATCAATTCCTTGATAATTTGCTCGGCTCATCTTTTGATTAATTGCAATTTAGTCCTTCATCTTTCACTTTTCTTCAATTCAGTCCAATGTTACTTCTTTCTTCCTCCAATCGTCTTGTATCGTCCTCAATCTCATACTTGGTGTATTTTCATTCTAATTCTGCACTTTAGCTCAACTTTCCAATATTTGCACCTTTGGTCCCCGAACTATCACTTTGTTCCGTTTTGGTCCTTTTTCGGCTCTTTTCTTCTAAATTCCATCTTTTCCATAGAAACACCTACATTGCATGAATTTAACAAGATTAAGTCACAATTCAACTACTTTGTCCATATTTAAGTCATGTTTGTGAGCTAAATAAGTGTGTAAAATATACTTATCACATATCCTACCCTCAACGCCTTTCACATTCGCGAGATCGAGGATGTCATCCCCGAGGACGTCATCTATATTGTACACCAAAGGCTCGAGATTTTCTAACATCGGCCTATCCCCCTCTAAGGACTCAAAATAGGCTTGACCCTCACAAAACCTCGCAGTATCTGGTAACACCCACTGAGGACTAAAAGGTAGGTCGAGATCTTGAGTCACGACGTAAAATCATTTTTCCTTCCACCCTTTTAATGAACTAGGCATCCTCGGGATCCCAAACCTTCCTTGGGATGAAAGGTAAGCAAAACACGTGAATTGGGGAAGTTGTTTCAGGTCGAACACCATCCTACATAAGTCTAGCAAAAAAATAGGTCAGCATCCTCCACCCATTCGGCACTAACTGCCCGAGGCTCATATTATGCTCGGTCAACAGGGTAACAAAGAATGGGTGCACAGGCCACATAAACCCCCCTTTAAAGAATCCTTGAAAATCACGAACTCCTTTTCCAGAGCTATAGCCATCCTATCCCTATCTCGGGATGCCTAATATCACAACCCGGCATAAGGCTATATTCCTTAGCCGTCGATATCGCTAAGTGTTCCTTAAACCTACAAGGTTGATCTGGGAATCTAAGTAACGTCGGGTTATCATGAGCTCGAGGCTGAGCACTAATAGGTACTGCCATCGGCACTATTGACTGTCCTAAGTCCTAGAGTGTAGACCTAGACCCCGAAGACGATGTGTCTCCTTCACTACTCGACATCCTATTCCAAGCTAAGACCTTTCTAAATAAACAACTTAAGTTCTCGAGCTCTTACCTGATACCGACGATTGCGAGAAAAATTTACCGAGAGTGAAAAAGTAAAAAATGAATAGCGAAAGGAGTATTTATAGGAGGCCAGGGTGGGAGCCCAAAGGTCACTTCCACAACCGTCCGATCACACCACGTGTCTACCATCCAAGGGCTCAACCCTTCCACCGCCTTGCTCGTTTAGGGCTGATGTCATCACCACGTCAGCTTCGTTCACTTGTCTTCAAAAGCCCAAGCATTTGCACATCAGTCGCCTTCGAACCTCTTTGCATCATATCCTCGAGCGATGGCTTTGAGCATATGTGTACGGGGGCCAATGATACTGACATTCCCTGCTAACCCGATCACTATATTATCCCGATGACGAATTTTAGATGAACTTGCAATTCCACATATGGAGTGCTCGAGCATATGTTCACCTCGGGGTATTATGCTCAAGCACTTCCTCTCTACTGCTTTAACATGTTGCGATACTGGTCCTCGAGCATAAGTAGTCCTCGAGTGTATGCTCTCATCACAATCTACGATTGTTGACCCTTTAGAATCCCTATGCAATTAGGACTCTAACTTAACCATATACTTGACTCCCGCAAGGATTCTATCCCACACATAATTATGGTGTTTGTCCAACTTCTTAACTATACAGGACTCCAACAGATAAGGATATCCAGCTAATTGAGTCCTGTAAGGAGAATGTTGCTTACTACTACAAATACATAACCTTGAGCCATTATTCAGGTACGTTTTCATTATTCTCCAGTTTATAGCCTCACGCATATAATTCCCTTTCTGACTTAAGCATCGGAGGGGCGACAAAAATATATCTCGTTGCCTTTGTTTCATGTATCGGAAGACTACGATCGTGCTCAGTCCAAATCATCAAGCTTGAGAAATTTGTAGGTACGATTTTTGGTAGCATCAATCACTTTAACGACAATCCACAGTAAAAGGTGGCGATGAAGATTCTTCCGCTGCGAAATTGAGAAGGGCAGGAAAAAAAAAGTCTCAAAATGAGATTTTGTCTAATTTGTAGGATCATCTCGATGAAATAAAAGAGGGGTTCCCATTAGTGTTTTGAAAGTACTATGCTCACTCGTCCGCGATTCTTGAATCACTATTTTCATTTAGGTTCCCATTAATGTATTGAAAGTAATATGTTCTCTGGATTCTTGAATCACCAGTTTAATTTTTTTCTTGATTCTGATTGATTGCCTTTATTTTTATTTTTTTCTATAATGACAATTTGCTTCTTTCAATAGAAATTCTCAACTAACAATGCTTTTCTTTCCTCTTCCCTTTCAAAAATACTCACAACAGTTAAAAATTTCCAAAAAATAAATAAATTAAAATTAAGTTCACCATTGGTCCAAACTGAAAGACGTGGGTGTCAAATCTTCCAGAACAGTTATCCATGTCGTTACACTAATATTTTAATACAAATTATAATATTACTATGTCTGTAGCTCCTGCATCAACCCGGAGCCAATCTGTAATTCTGTGCATACATGCATCTGTGCAAGTATTTTGTAGTTATGTATCTTGTCGTAGTCGGCCATCTCTGTTTCCAATACAAGTAGCCCAAACGCATCGACAATCTCTAATCTATACGTACAGATACACGCAACCCACAACCATACCCATCTGCACTTCCTAAACTCTAAATTCATATCTATTTACACACAAACAATATATACACATATACATAATACGAATAGATACACAAAGAATGGCGTTGGATATGGAGGGGATGATGAAGGAGCTTCGAGGGACCTATGCGAGTGGGAAACCGAAGAGTTACGAATGGAGAGTATCCCAGTTGAGGGCCCTGTTGAAAATAGCCGATCACCATGAGAAAGAGATAGCTGAAGCTCTTCGTTGTGACCTTAATAAACCCGATCACGAATCATTCGTATACGAGGTTAGTTCGACCATTCAATTAGGATATTTTTACGTCTATTGAATTTGATGTTATATATGTTAATGTTTGAGTCCTTTGGAAATCTTTTTGTCTTTTTTGATCCTGTTTTAAATGCTCTGTATTTGTTGAAGCCAAATTTAGGATGTTTTATTTCCTGTTTATTTTCCTAATTCTGTAATAAAAGCCTGTTTTTGTAGAAGTTTCCTTTTGGGTTGTAATTTTGTGTTGATGTTTAAAAAATGACGTGGCACTCTTGATCAAGTTTTACGATTTGATCTAAGGGTCTGTTTATTTGCAAAGGTGGAAAATGCAAACCAATTACACGTAAGTTGAAAAAGAAAAAAACCACCAAAATCATAGAAATTCTATTTCCACTCAATTGGCCAAATATATGCTTTAAGTGTTTGTACCTTGAAATTCGAACTCCATTTCCATTTTCATATCAAATGGCCAAAAGTAGAAAGCGAATTCTTCGTATGTGACACTTTCCATAGAATTGAAGCCAATCAAAAGGATCTTAAATGAAAGTCTTATAATACTGGAATTCTAAACTGAAAATCTCCCGTCCGACACCCTTTCTTTCGCTTTTCATCCCTTTATATAAACTCTTTTATAGATGTTGATGGGCTCAAGCTTGTTGTTCTAGTCTTTTCAAGCTACAGTTTTCTGACCTAGGGCCGTGTGCCGCCGCCCGTTTGACAGAATTTGATTGGTTGTTGAATTCGACTAGGTGGAGTTAGTTGTTCTCAGCGGTGCGGCAAAAGGGAGCTCTTCATCATAATAATGATGTTTTCATATAACGTCTCCCATAGCACACTTCTGACCTCTGTCGATGGGTACCAGGCTAAGGTGCTGACTTGACTATCTACACCTTTCGACAGTCAAATTCGTTTGACAAGGGAGCCATTATTTCCGATGGATTTCAAATCGGCAACAACATTGTATTTTGAGTTTTACTAAGCCCTTGTTTGAGCCCCATTTTAAGTGAAAGGCAATTTTAAATAGTGGTTGATGGAGAATGTGTGGTTAAAAATTAAGGAAAAGTTCTAGGTTTGCGTGTAATATCATTTATTGAAGAATGCGTGGCTGAAAATGAGTTTCGAAAAAATGAATTTTTGGAAGAATGGGGCTCAAACAAGGGCTAAATATATACATGTTTCTTGATTATTCTGGGGTGATTGGTGAAACTGATGAAATTAACTTAGTCGAGCTGGTGGTGGGATCGATAGTTGACCTACAAAATTGACTTTTTATAATGTTTTCTTCAGAGTTTCAATATATGTTGTTTGCCATATACTGCAGCATTTGAAGCACATTCACAGTAGTACGTCTTTTAATGACAGATTAATTAGTTAAAATCCTAAGTACAGGAAAATTGGTTATGTTTCATGTTCAAATTACTCTTTCCATCCATATGTTTGCTCATTTATTAAGATTTAGTATGTTTCCAAAAGTGGAATACTGTCTGCTCAGCTATCAATTTATAGCATTCAATGGACAAAAAGAATTTTGTCCAGTTAGCAGCTAAAAGCATTTAATATTCACCTGCAGAGATTTATCAAATGTCGAATAAGTGGCTAATGTTATTGATCTGTCTGGATATTTTTGTTTATTAAACAGATTTGATTGGATTAATGTTTGTTTACCAGATTAATCTGTAGCATCTTTGGCTTCAAAGGGTTTAATTTTTGGTCATGATGGGTTATTAGGTTCTGAGAGGTTAGGAGTATATCTTCACAAATTAAGCGTAGTCACCAGCCAGGATTGACATAGGATAGGAACTTATATTTTTATTATGCATGTTCGCGTCGTTTCAGATTTTTTTTTCCTGCTTGACAATCCGCTTTGTGTTGGACTGATAAAAAATTTGTTGCTATGGGTTGATGAAAAAAGCTTCTGCAGATTTAGCGAGGTATTTTATTTTGTTGGTGTCAAAATATGGAGAGAAATTTGAAGTTTCAAAATTAAGTTTCATTTAAAACTAATAATTTTTGCTGTGGTGGATAAGTAAGTTTTAAAATTAATAATTTTTATTAGTCGAAGTTAGAAATGAGTAATTTATTTTGCTGGTAATGTATGAGCTACTTTAGAAAGATACCTTTTTTTTGAACTTACAAGCAAGAAAAGAGTAAGTCATCAAATGTTCAGAAACAAACTATTTTAGCTTAGCATAACAGGCTCGTAGTCTACTGAAAGTTGGCTCAAGTTATCTTCTTGTGGATCTCTTTTGTTGGAAGTTCGAATACGATATGCTCCCAGCTCTGATATGTAGTTTCTTTGATTATTAATTCTTTTTCATGCATCTGATTTGTATCATTTATGTATACAGATTGCTTCAATGAAATCATCATGCCAGCTTGCATTGAAGCAATTAAAAGGATGGATGAAACCAGAAAAGGTACTTTCGAATTTTATTGTCTTTTTACTTTTGTTCATTAGTCATACAAGAGTTGTATGATGCTCTAATTACTTGTAATTGCAGGTGAAAACCTCGTTAACCACGTTCCCCTCATCGGGGGAAATAGTTTCGGAACCATTGGGTGTTACATTGGTCATATCGGCTTGGAACTTTCCTTTCTGTAAGTTGATTCTTTCGTTGTTTTATTTCCTGCTTCACATAAAACACGCTTCATCGTGATGACTATTAGACATCCACCTTTTGCAATAGCTTTCGTGATTTATTGACGAAGAATGAATTTGTGCCCTGTCATCTTGTTTAATATTATAACCTTGTCACTGATGACAACTTTTTTAATTGGATTATTTTTGTTTGGTTCAGTATTGTCTCTTGATCCAGTCATTGGAGCTATTGCTGCTGGTAATGCTGTAGTTTTGAAACCTTCGGAAATTGCCCCCGCCACATCCGCGGCGCTTTCAAAACTTTTAGGGGAATATATGGATACCTCTGCAGTAAAAGTTGTCGAGGGTGCCGTACCTGAAACAACTGCATTACTGGAGCAAAAGTGGGATAAAATATTTTATACAGGTATTTCATATTTTTTAAGTCTAATATCCTTCCCACTTTTTTTTTTCTTTTTTTCTTTTTTTTTTTTTTTTTTTTTTTTTTTTTTTTTTTTGGTTTAGACGTGAAGATGTTTTCTTGAGCTAATCACAGTGCAGCAGCCCCTACTTTTATTAATGGAATTTTACCTGTAAAGAGAAAGTAAATGTTTTTGAACTTTGTTTTTTACCCACACATTGATTTCTGATCTTGATTCTCTAACAAGCAATCTTGTAGGAAATGGCAAGGTAGGACGCATAGTGTTGACTGCCGCAGCAAAGCATCTTACACCTGTAGTTTTGGAGCTTGGTGGCAAATCTCCTGTAGTTGTTGACAAAAACATCAACTTAAAAGTAAAGACTTCTTTCTCTTCTGATCATAATCTTGCATTTTTCAACGTTCTTATGAAGCCACAACTAGCATGCTTCGTTTATAATAGCATTCTTAATAGTTACATGTTTGAGGTTTATCAGAAGTTTCTTTCTTGTTGGGGATTTTCAGCACAAAATTTTACCTTTTTTCTGAACTTAGCCTACCATGTTGACAATGTAATCAAAACTTGTTCTGCTTTTGAAAGGTTGCAGCAAGACGGATTATTGGAGGCAAATGGGGCTGCAATAATGGACAAGCTTGTGTTTCTCCCGATTATTTGATAACGACAAAAGATAATGCTTCTCAGTTGGTAAGTTTTCTCGTCTGATTGAAGAGCCATTTAACGAACATTTTTCTAGTCTTTGTTTTCTCATGCAAATTCTGAAATCAGGTAGATGCTCTGAAATCTGAACTGGAGGCATTCTATGGAAAGGATCCTCTAAAATCGGAAGACCTGTCGCGCATAGTGAATTCCAACCACTTTAACCGCTTAAAAAATTTATTGGATGACGAGAAGGTATCTGGGAAGATAGTTCATGGAGGCCAAAGGGATAAAACCAATCTGTGAGTTTGTACATGCGATTTTTACTTATTTTTCTTTCAAAATTCCTTAATTCGAAAAGAGTTGTAGTTAATTCTATCGTTATATTTTTTTTTATCAATCCGGGCAGAAAAATTGCTCCCACTATTATGTTGGACGTCCCAGGTGATTCTCTGGCCATGAATGAGGAGATATTTGGTCCTTTACTTCCTATCTTGACGGTAAAACTTAGTTGATTATTTGGTGATTTTTCCTTTCGACTTTTGCTTTACAATTTCGATTGTACACTGTATTTGCTTTCCTTTTGCCTGAAGGTCTACAAAGTTGAAGACAGTATTGATCTGATTAACGCTAGAGAGAAGCCACTTGCTGCATATTTATTTACGAACGACAAAAGGCTTAAGGAGCAGTTCATTAGAAACGTCTCGGCAGGGGGTTTGGTCGTCAACGACACCATTCTTCATGTAAAAATATTTCTTCCCGTAGCTATAAAACACATCAAAAGCTTTGCTTCAAGTCATGCCTGTTAAGGAAATCCCACGTCGCATAAAAATGAAAATATAAATGAATTTATAAAGCATTGGACCACTCCTCTTAACAAGGTTGACATTTTAAGATGGAACCCTAAATCTTGATATAGTATTAGAGTCCATTAAACTCCAACGAGCGATTCGATCCGATTAAAACTCGATAAATGAGCATACATATTTCAAGATTGGTATGCTCAAATGAGCCACAATCTTGCCATTTTGTGGAGGCATGTTAAGGGATGAAATCCCGTATCGAATAAAGATGAAAACATGGATTAATTTATAAAGGATTGAGCTACTCCTCTTAACAATGTTGACCTTTTAAGATGGAATCCCAATTCTTAATAATGCCAACTCATCTTCATTCCTATATTAATCGTGAATATACTCTCACTAGTATTTGCATTAGCATTTGATAGTGATTAGAATATAAGTAAAAGTAGTTTATAGTCCAACAATCCACTTTTTTCAAATATAAGTCATCAATCCCGATCTTCTGTCACCAGTGGACAGTTAAAAACTTCCCATCTTTGATCTGGCAAAAGAACTTTAGTTATGGTTCATGTTTTTATCATACTCACTCTGTGGTAGGAGATCAATTCTATATAAGTCATTACTTACTCTTAGGAAAAGTAGTGGTGATATTTTTTCTGGGCTTAGCTAAACTTGCTCTTTTGAATTTTCTTTCAAAGCACCCTTTCTTGAAAAAAAGTACCGTCCCCTTTATATTTTCGCGTAGGAACATCTCTAACTGTAATGAAGATTGCAAATCGAACCCGTGAATAAGAAAAATAAGTCAAGTTAAATAATCGAACCTGGCTAACTATATTATGGAACTTGTTGTTGCAGCTTGCCGAGCATTCTCTGCCATTTGGAGGAGTCGGGGAAAGTGGAATGGGAGCCTACCACGGGAAATTCTCATTCGATGCTTTCAGCCATAAGAAGGCAGTGTTACAGCGTAGTTTTGCCGGGGATATTCCTGCAAGATACCCACCATATTCACCTGGAAAGCTGAAATTTCTGAAGGCATTGTTAAATGGTGATGTAGTTGGCCTTATTCGGGCTTTGATTGGTTGGTAACATCCAAATTTTTTCGCCAATCTGTGTACATTAGGAAAAATGCTCGACTTGATGTTGATTGATCATATGGAAATATCGTTCTTCCGAATTCTCATATATTTGTGTTGTGATCTTTTGTCCCAACGATCAAAATATTCGATATAGATGTTTGATAAAATATTCAGTACCATATTTGCTCCTGTATAATCTTTCATTTAGCTTTTTCAAGTATAAGTTAATTTTCCAAGTAGCCTAGTTATTTCGTGTTTGGTACCAGGTAGTATGGCAACTAGAGAAGAATTTCCACTTTCATGAAGCTTTACATTGAATTCTCAAGGATGTACCAAAACTTGCCAGCTTTTTATACAAAGAAAGAGAAAAGATTGGTAATTGCATCCCTGTTTCTAGTCGGTTGATTCAATCATGTTACATTGTTATAACAATACTTCTACACGTACAGAATTATTTTTGTCAGAATACATACAAAATACTCACAATTATGGGGTCCACACACATTTTTGACATTTTTTATACAACATGGGACCCACACACTTGTCTCTATTCTGTACACAATCTGTGAAAATATAATCTGTGCACTCAGATTTTTTCTTGTTATAATTAGTACTTGTTTAAAAGTGATTATTTGAAAAGTAATATTTTTGAGAGAAGTGCTTAAAAGTAAGAGTAGTTACGAGAAAACATGAAATATGATTTTTTTGCAAATGTATTATTACAAATGAATGTAGGAGAAGAATGTTAGTCAAACAAGTGTTTATTTACTTTTGATTTGCAAATTTATCCCTTATGTCCCCCTTTGTGTACCCCAAGAATAATCCAGCAGTTTTTCCCCTTCTTAATGTAGGAAAACTATTGGGCGCTCCCTTCAAAAAAAAAAAAAAAAAATTATTGGGCGCACCAATGAGTGTGTTTGGCTAAGCTTAAGTAGTTTACTTTTAAATACTTTTTTTTTAATTTAAAAATAAATAATTTACTTATATTGACATTAATATGAAATTTACTTTCGAAGAGACTCACTTAAAAGCAATCTAAATTTTTTTTTTTTTCCGTAAGTTTAGTTAACCATGGGATAAGAGGAAGTTAAAACAAATAAGAAATCTGAAACTAAAAATGCGAACTTTCTGTTTAGATTTCAGTTTTTGAAATAAGTTAATTTTACCAATGATCATTTTTTTAATTCAATAAAATAATATTAATATATTACAAGTAAAATATTAATAACACAAAATTTAAATTTAAATAGCTAAATAATGCCTTGAATCTAGAATTTATTGGAAAATATTTGCAGCAAAATTAAATATTTCTAATCTAATATAATACGCAAAATAAATAAAACGAATGCTTTGAACACGAATGGACTTAATGAAAATAAATCAAAGTCGAGATTGAAGACAATGAAAAATTTGCATGAAAAAATGAGTTTGATTATTATTTCTAGAGACAATTTGTCGTTTCATTAAAGGGTTTTATCAATAATTTTTCGACATGCAAAGTTGACCTCAAAATTACAATAGTATTGAACATGTTGCATTCGTTTTCCTAAAATAGAACTCGAGAAATATAAAATGTTGACAAGAACTTGAATGTACAAACAAATACAATTATAAATAAATAAAATTCTTGAAAAGATGTTCTATTTGGAGATAAAACATCTATTTAAAATGAAATGACTTTCACGATATGTCGAGTCTAATACTATACAATTATTTGTCTCTTTTCAAAGAGTATGTATTTTATGAAATCACAAGTGTAATATCAAAGGATATGCTTACAAGAAAAAAAGTGATATTGTAATAAATAAATAAAAAAGTAAAAATTACAATTATAATTTTCCGTTTTGATTGTTATTTTATCTTTGCACGTCTCGTTGGGATTAAGGGATTATGTTGCATGAAATTACATGTTTGGTCAACCTTAAAAGATTTGCTTACAAGTAAAAATGTTAAAGAAAAAAAAAATTATTCCGAAAAATTAGAAATAGATAAGTACAAAATAATTACCTAAAAGCAAGAAAGAAAAAGTGAATTATGAACATTTTGGTTCATTTGCTCAAAATTCACACACTGATGGATTTTGAAGTTGGATTTGGGAGAACGATGCTACGGAAATAGTAAATTCAAAATCTTAGTAATATTTTCATAGAGGCATGATGAATGTTAATTTTGATTTATTCATATTAAGAACATCGGTCTTGTTGCTTTTGCTATCATTGGAATATTTGATTTATTTATCATAAAATCCGTGATGTTTTTGCTTTTGCTTATGACTAGTGAGGGATCGTACGTTGCACAATCTCTGCTATAACTTAAGAATTTAATTTTGTAAACTTTATTATGTTTTTTATATCAAAGAAATTGGTAAGAAGAATGTATCATATTAGTAGTTAGAAAAACTACAAAAAATGGAATATTGATTGTATACATTTATTTATGTTATCTGCATTATTTTAATAAAATGATCATGCTTATGGTACAAATGTAGGTTAAAAAATATGAAAAATGAAAATGAACACTGAGAAAAATTTCTTCACAATTGGATATGCATAGCTAACAATTTTAATGAATCAAAGAAAGTACTCTATTGACAAACCTTTTTACATATGGTGGAAATTTGCTATCAAGAAATAGAAGCATTTGTCATCAATACATAGCAACAATTAGAAGTTCGGTGACCTCTTAGGGGATTTTCTGCAAAGTTTAGTGATAATTAGGGGGATTTCCTCATTAGAAGTTCAACAAACTAACTTCTAGTTTCTTTAACCCACTTCAAAACCTCCAAGTTGAATGTTTAAGAATCATCCAAACCGTCGCAATTAACTTGCAAGCACACCACTGTCTATGTAAGATGACTTGGAAGTAAATACTATAGCAATTGTTAGTCATGCATTAAAAATCAAATATCAACATTTCACTCATAAACAGATAGCCAGATAATAAATCAAAAGTATTTGGTTGTACTTTAGATTTCAACTTTTCCCTAAACTAAGAGAATCGCGAAATTAATATCCAACATTTTGATTACCATTATTCATTTAAAAAAAAAAAGCAAATTATTAATAACAACATTCTGATACTCCCGTGAGCTGAACATCAAAATGTGATCCCATTATGACAATTATGAACTTCACAAAAAGAAACAAAAATAAAAAAATAAAAAATGATATGGACGCTAAAGATTCTATAATACAGAATAAATAAAGGTTCAATTGGTTTTTATTTATCTATATTTGGAATAATTTGCGCTCATAGCTCATATTGTTGCTTGAAACAGCCTCCATAAATATTTATTCAATTTATATTAGAGGATAAGACTTTAGCATGATATTATAAGATTTTGCTAATTAAAAATTTTGAACACGAATATAAATTATGTGCCAGAAGAAGGAACATTTTACCAAGAAATATTACATAGTGAGTGTTATATTACTTGCCTAGTGGCCCCAAACCCAATATTATGTGGGAACATGGTGCAATTATAGACATTTTGCGTCCATGTACAACATTAAACCCACAAATCATAGGAATCCCTAGACGTGTAGATACAAACCTCCTCTAGAAGACATTCACCATGTTAACCCAGTCTGTAGCGATAGCATATGGAAGTGGTGTACTTCCACCACCGCTTAATACGTTCCCTACATAAACATGCTTTTATAAGAAGTGAAAAATCTTAATTATCCTTTTATTTTTAAAAGACACTGTCAAATGATAACAACATCTTGAAGTCTTATACTCACAACAAAGCAAATAGGTTTTTCTAAACTATAATCAACAAGATGCACGCATTTGATGAATCGTATCAAAACACGTTTGATTATGCAAGTAAAATCGCATGAACATGCCTCATCCATTCAAATTAGGAATCTGCACAAACTTGGTCAACATACTTTCATTCTCAACTTAATGAGCAAAAATATGAAATTGTGAAACTTATGTCCATTTCTTACATTCTTATAAATTACTAAATACAAAATGTGGATGGAAACAAAAATGTAGATACTTTTCTAGTTTACAAAATACATTTACAAAGTCACAAGGTGATAGTAGAACAACAAATTTGGGAGAGGGTGTAAAAAACTTATATGATATTTATTATTTAGAAAAAGAGTTAATATATAATAAAACAAAATAAATGAGACAAATGGAAGTTAGATTGAAAAGCTCTATCTGTCAATTTTTAATGAAGTTTCTTTAACGACAACTTCAACAAAGATGAAGCCAAGTGCAAAATAATCCAACCTTGCGTTACTTCATAGTTTGGACTGCTACAAGAAATCGTATTTATGTCTTGTTAACATATTAGGTTTGTCAAACTCCAAGACAGATTAACAAAAAAAGAAAAATCTTCTCTTATAATCTTACCATTTTAGGATTTCCCATCTCACCTATCAAGGTTAATAACAGCAATATTTCCAATGCAAAAATGAAATATTACCCAATTTTTTCCCTTCCTAAGAAAGTTACCATTTCAAGTGGATAAATAACCATAGAACACTGAAACAATACTTTGTTACTTGTGTAATCATACATTTCCTAGCTAGGAATTGAACTCTAGTTATTTGAAATTATTTATTCATCGAAATAATACTCGTAGTTCAAACATGCAATATAATGTTCTAGAAAAAGATTTCATTTGGCTAAGCAAAGACATTTTCATGTACCTATGAGAAAAGCAACTTTAAGAACCTATCCAACTATCTGAAAATATGCAACTCTCAGTTTGAATCTGTAAACAAAAGCCACATTTTTAACACCAACCACATCAATGCCTAAGTTGACACAGCCTACACACAGATTCATGGAAAAACACAAATGCAGCAGTCTCATTTACGTTAGAGACAATAGTCCAATCAAATGTAGATTGATTCATAATGAAAATCAAATGAGCTTATTGAGTAGCTAACAATACAACATGTTAGATAAAGAGAATTGTATGAATGGTCAAAAGATTAAGACATAACACACCAGAAGCTGCTAGTCTTTGAACCATTATAAGAATGCCTGGTTTTTTACTTTTTCATTGATCAGTATAGATAAACTAAACGAGTGCAAATAATTCATCAACAAAAATAGGACAAATAAGTAAAGTGGGGAAAAAAAGAATATATTTATACGATAAAAAAGGTCTACCTAAAAGAAAATATTTTTTAACTTTCTTTTTTCAATCAGATTTTCTGTCAAATTCCTCCAACAAAATTCTATTATCATATTTCCTAATAGTCCACAAGAGTGCCTCACCTACTTGTTTGTAACTCCACATGAAATCATGGAATCTAACTCAGCATTTGCCTATATGGTGTTGTTTAATTCAGGTATATTGGTGCGTATCATATCTAAAGCTTCACAAAGTCAGGTCTTTGTTACCAAATTGCAACTGTCATTGCCTCAAAAATCTGCTTTAGGTAAAATTCAACAAGTATATTTTTGACAAAGAACCACCCATGAATATACATTTTGAGTAAACTCAATGTCATAACTTCGAATAAATATAATTGTCGAGATGTTAATCCAAAATACCACTTAATAGCTTATCAAAACAATTTCATATAAAACTGTTTAATCCCTCATGCCATATATGTAATCAAATGCACACTTTTGAGCGACTATGTTGTTCTTATTTAATTTTGACTTCATCAACTCCACAGAAAGGCAATTGAATTTCACTTTCCATACCTTATGTGGCATGTTTATACTCTTGTGACCTTGAGGAAAGTAAAAGAGCTTATCTCCAACATGCGGCATGTTACGTATAGGATTGGCATAGTCTAGCAACAGTGGCATACAAACTGCTTCTTCCTCAATTAAATACATAAATCTCAATATTATTATAATGCATAAATAAAGGACTTGAAATGTAATACCCTGAGCTTCACGTTATACATTGACCAATATGATTCATGCATTTCATGCTAATTACATTGTCATTTGTATCAATTTTCCTAATTATTTTTTCTTAAAATTGTGCATTCGATCACCAAGGCTTTAAAATCCTTACATGGTGATAATCTTCCACTCCTCGACCTAGATGGTGAATTTTACATTGAGTTATGATAGAAAATTAGGTTAGCTAAATGTTGAAAATTGGTTTGGTAAGTAATGGAAAACCGAGAAGGTCAGAAATTAGTATCGACAAAAGTTCAAACTTTCCATTCGGTTGATCGAGGTTACCTTAAACCCTAGATAGGTAATTGACATGTTTGAGACATGAGGCATGAAATGACATGATCACAACACAATAATATATGTCTCATATGACGTTATAAATATTAAGGTGCGAATTGTTGATATTGGTTGTCAATCGGGTAAGAAATTAAATGAACGGTTGAGGAATTAGCCCTATAATATATTTTGGAATCTTTGGACAAGTGCAATAGATTGTAAACATGTCAAAATGAGCCAAGGATACTTGATTTGTACCTGCAAAGATAGATATAAAATCAGATTTTTACTACAAGTGACCACCTCATGCTTGAAATATTTGTCATTTTAACACTCAATTTCTTTAACCTTAAGGCATGATCTCGTGTAGGACTGATATAGATATCTTATAAGGCACAAATAAATCCAAATACAATGGTAGAAAGGTCAAATATTGCAGCAAGAAGCCACATCCTACTTAGACAGCTCATGCTAGGAGACTTATCACTTTAATATATAATTGCTTCAACCTTAAGGTATCCAGCACGTCTTCTAAATCATTAGAACTTTATATGAGATATTCATGCATCTCCTAAGCCACAAATGACTCCATATAAGGTAGGAGAAAAGTCAGATTTGGCTGCAAGGGGCCACATCCTGCTTGGACACCTCATACTTGGGGAATACTTGTCTTGTAATCACAAATTCCTTCACCTTTAAGTATCACTCATGATCCAAATCCTTAAGACTCCTTAAATAGCTCCTAAATAAGAGATATGACTCTGAAAAGATAACCCCAAGTGGACGTGAAAGCAAAGGAAGCATAAAGGGATAAGAAAACAAGAAGCTGGAATTTCTGGATAGCTTTGTTACTTCACGGTTTTGAGGTTTGTATCCATTATTTCTTAAGGGGTTTATAATTTTTTGAACATATAAACTTTCTTATGATTAGGTTGGAGTGTTGATAATGATTTTACGATGCCAAAATAGGGTTAATTAATTATAAGAACTTGAGGAAAAACAACTTGAGCAGAGATGTAGGTTGCTGGATTTGAGTGGTTTGTACCTTGATTTTGGGATGATACTTAGTGTATAACTTATATATATCAATATGAACGTTTTTATATGTAAGTATAAAATGTAGAAATGATTTTTAACGGCCTAGAATTCTATTAGTATCATACTAATACAATAGAAACCGAAAACTGTCACAAGGAAAATAAAACTGCCTGATTTTGTGTAGTGAAAAATGGACCATTTTTGGAGCTCAAAACCCTTCATTTGTCACAACCTTATGACCTGATTACCTTCAAATACATGTTATAGAAGTGTGGTAAAAATTTGGGAGTCGTTGGATATAGTTAAGGGGGTGAAAAAGGATTGGAAAAATAATTGGACGGTAATAGAAATCTAAAAACAGATTCTGTCCATTTGTGTTTGTAATGTGATTTCAACCTTTACATATCCATTAATTATCTTTTGACCCTAGAAAATAGATTCTAAGGAGTACTAGGTTAATGACAACTATTAGATGACGTTGACGTTCATGATATGGACTCGAGAGATAGCAAGACTTTGGGACTAGTTTGTAATGCCATTGGTAACTTGAAATAATGATTTCGTCTAAGTTGTTTTGAAGTGAATGGATGTATTTTGAGATTGTGTGTGTTAAGGTTATTAAATGGAAGAATTTCTTTAATATTAGATAGTAATACATGTGATTTTTTGACGTGAAAAAGGAAATTGATATAAACTCCGTAGAAGCTTGCACACACAAAGGCGAAAAGTAACTAAAAATTCATTTCCAACTACGATGCAAGAACCTAGTATTGTTACATGGTAATGTTGAAATATTTACATAACTTTGATAAGAGGCTTATAGCACATCATATGATGGTTATGATTGTTGAGCATGAGGTTATGAAGTCTATTGACATCGATTTTCATTAAATACGTCATTCATAAGCATTTTTATATGCATGCACGACATGTGATATGGTTGAAAATCCTGCATGCGAAACATGATTTCATAATGAGTTTTCTTTATAAATGTTTTATTGACAACTACTAGGGCACCGAGGCATGTGAGACATGCTTATGTGATATGTTTGGCATAGTGGGTAATACTTCCTGGGTGATTGCAAAGGTAGATAGGGGATGGGCCTTTGGTGATCATGGGAGGGCGGACCACTTGATTGTACCCTTGTGATATTATGATTATTGGCGTTGCCGGGTGGGAGATTTCTTGGGTGATCATAGGGGTAGTTAGAGGATGGGCCTCTAGTGGTCACGAAAGGATGGTCCACTCGTCGGTGTCGATTTCATATTGGCCATTTGATTATTAATATTGATATTATGCAGAGCTCTATCCAGTGCATAGTAGGTGGGTCAAGGGCCCAATGAAATGAAAGGTTTCAAACAAAATGATTTCGAGTCGACTTTGATACATATTGAAATATGATGCTTCTTTATCGTGATGTTTAAAGTAAATGGCATATATCATTATTATTTATATTCATTACATGCATGATTTTTGCTTACTAAGCATTGGTTTATGTAGTTCTTACATTGTAGGTTAGCCTGGAATTATATAGAGAGCACAGCTAGCTGTGGAGCTCTTACGGGATTCCAGAGTTCTATGTACATGGATGACGACCTGTAGGGTTATTTTGTGGGCTGCTATTTTGAGCTTATGACCTATTGTGTTGTATGTTGGGGATCATGTGTTGTATATCTTTTGACATGGTATGTAGACTTGTTTATAATCTCAGAATATATATGTTTGATTATGACGATATGATTTTGGTTTAGAGACATAACTTACGTCGTTTTATCACGTGAGAAAAAGTGAGAAATTCTATATCTAGGTCGAGTCATCAATTTTATTCCCACACAGGTTAATGGATAGTTATGTATATGAATGGGGGTGTGACATGAAATTTGAATTTTTTGCCAATATAAAAGATAATAAACAACTAACATTTTGTACATTATAATGTTATAACTCAGGTTCGGGATAACCTCCCTAAGGCTATTCAATGGGCCACCTAACATTCTTGTGCAAAGGGATGAACTTTTGCTGAATACCATACCTTAAATGTGAAAAATATAAATTCAATACATCAGAAAGTCCAAATTTTTTTTGAAAGAAATCATATTACAATTGAATTCTCTAAAATTATTACCATGGTTTTCCAGTAGTAATATCGGGATGGCTAAAAATCTTATTTGAATTGTACTGCTTGTTTGTTGGAGTAGGTTCACCAAATAGAGTGTAAGCATCATACATGACCTAATCGAGAGAAATAATCGAGTAAGGTATGATCTAAAAACATATAAGTAAACTTCAAACCAACATAATTAAATGCGTAAACGATGATGGTAAGAAGCAACTTACTAATGTATTATTTTCCCTGCAGAATGGATCTTTGAAAATTGCGTGAGGATTGTATCATTCAATAATAGAATGAGTAAAAAGTTCAAAGTGAGAGAAGCATACCTTGAATGAGTTGGATGCCATCGAAAATTCCAAACCATTCGTCACAAGGATGTTTTCCATAGCCATGTACACAGAAGATTAATCAAGATTGGCAAATTTACACATGTTTCCACACTTGCATTACAAGCAACACTAGATAATGAAATCTATCAATTAAAATGTCATTAAACTGATGAAAATATATACAGTTTCTTGAGCTCATAAAAAAAAGAATTATATTGTGCATACCATCTAAATAAAATAGTTTTGTCATATGAGATATTCCGACTATTGATGTTTTTTCCTCTTCCTTTTAGACAGACCCTATTAATAGTGGCTAAACCTTTTCCTATTTTTCTTTTTAATAAGTAGACTGTCAAAAATTTTTATATTGTGTAACTTGAAAAGTAATAATGATGCCTCTATGCAGATGACCCCTTTCTATCACGAACAATTGATAGATAATCATTTGTAGATAGTTTACAAAATTAGGGTTCATGGAATCTGCCATAACATTAGACTTGTCATTTCCATCATCCATAGACAAATGTTTCAATGAAGATGTCCCATTAATGCCATAAAAATACATTTTTCTAAAGTCTCTATTTCATTGAAAAAGAGAAACTTTCAGTTTGCAAAAATGCTGACATAACCGAAAACAAATAGACCAAGGGGCATACAAACATGAAGATAGACACTTGATATAATTAGCATTTGTCTAACCAAATTATATATTAATGTATTACGAGGAACAAGAAAATGTATAAACGAACATATTACTTCAAAAAATTCAATCAATGCAAAATTGTATATAGTTGATATTGTTTCTTGGTGTCCTTTATCTTCGAAGAAACCCCATATACAAATCTTTAAGTGATGCATCCACTTCAATAATCTAATAAATGATCTCCACAATAAAGTTAAAAATTTACTAAACATACGATCAATCATTAATTCCAAAATTTCTGATAATAGAAGTGCAACCATAGATATTCAAATATATGAATGATTACTAAAAATAAGGAGTGTAAAGAAGAGGAATGAAGGATACCTAGATCTAATTTGGAGTTAGGTTGGGGAGATTCTCAATGAAGTGACTGAATATTGACGATTTTCGACTAAAAACAGCCCAATTGTGAGAAGAAGCCAGGGAAAATCAACAACTTGAGATGTAAAATTAAATTAAACCTAAATCATTAGGTAACTAAAATTATATTTAAATTATTTATTGATAAAAACTAGAAAAAATATTCGAACTTACTCTTTGAGGACGATGATCCTGTGATGGGAGTTGAAGAGACGTTGGGTTCGGACTCGGGTAGAAAATGGGAGTCGGGCCTTCTATAGTCGATGAAACCATAACGAGAAATAGAAAAGAAAGACAAAATTGAACAAAAAATGGAGAAAGAGTGTGAGAAGGAAACGACGTCGTGCTTGCGAAAAAGAAAAGGTAAAATTGGTATAAAAATTATGTAAGCATGATGTCTTGTGAATACTAGTATAAGTTTCCTCTTTTATGTATTGTAGTGATGTATTATAGTCTAAATGTGATTATTATTTAGGTATTTAAACAATTTAGATGTCCCGTTTGAGAACATCACAATAAAATCCGACTTGATTGCCATTTGAACTTAGACCAAGGAATTATTCTTTGAGCTTTTGCAGAGTTAGATAACATAGTAAGCCCTTATTTGATTCGGATATAGTATATTTTCATAACAATTAGTGAAATGTATTGTTAAAAAAAGGATAAAAGCTGTGAATTTCATAAAATGTGTGATTCAAAATAAATTTGAGCAAAAATAAATTTTAAAAAATGAGAACAAAGTGTAAACTTCCATATAGTCCAAACTTGATTATTACTTTCGTACTTAAAAATTGATTGATTGTATCGTTTTAACTGAAGAAGATGATTGATGCAGTGACTTAGATGATGACCTGCTTTCCACAACCTTTGTCATTTTCTTTGAAAACATACAAATGTGCAAACACTGAATTCTTCCTCTTGGTTCACTCGTGAATATCAAGAAATGGGCATAAAGAACAAGTTGATTCATATGCCCCTTGTTTGGTTTCACTAAAAACTAGATTGAAATTCAAGTTTGTTGGATTCGATAATTAGATATGGTCCGATAATTTGTATTAAAAGCGCATTTTGTAAAATGTTACTTTATTAATTGAAGAGCATTTTTTTGAAGTACGACGCTTGGGCTTCATCTTGGGCGTTGACTTCTGGAATGATCTATGGGCTTATCTTGGTTTGTCATTTCACTTGTCAAATCAGTTGAAAGGGTTTTATATTCTATGGCCTTTTGGTTTTCTGAGAGAAACTCTCTCTAATGCAAGGGTTTCATCTTTTGATTCTAATCTCGTAAAGTTCTGTTTAAAGAACTTAGATCTGTAATGGTTATCCTCATATGTGCCATATTTTTAGGGGATATCTATGAGAACGAGTGGGTTCAATTGAGTTGTTATGTTCAAAGAGTTATGTGAAGTTTTTTTGGTGATTCTTTGAAAATCTTCAGTTGTATTTGAAGAGAGAAGTGATCCTGTGTTATTCTCGTGATTGGTTAAAATTTTGAAACTTTTGCTGCTAGTTTGGGCTATTTAATGCAACCGAGCAAAATCAATTTACATCAGATGTAGGTGTTATATTTGGTTGTCGAATCTCTGAGGTTTAGACCGGAAGAAATCTCATGTTCAATCTTTATTTTCGCACTTTTACTTTATTTAAGATCTTTTTATTTTGCTTTTGGCATTAATATTATGTAGGGCTGGACAAAACTCTAGAATCGAATTGGATCAAAACGGACCAGAACTAAATCGAACCGAACTGAACCAATTTGAGAGGTTTTTTTTTAAGTTAAATACCTGAATGAATATTTAAATTGAGAATTAACGGGTTTTGTTCAGCTCTCGATTTTAAACCAAGAATCGAATCTCTCCATTTTTTCCATCTTAAATAAGTCAAATTATTTTATTTTTTTAAATAAATTTTCTAACTAACTAGCCCAAACCCAAAATATAATTATCCTATTTCTAATTCTCAACTAAGCCCAACTTAATCAAATTGACCTAAATTTTACCTAAACCTCTAATTCTATCCTTTTTGCTATTTTGGAGAAATCGAATTGGAAGCTCGGTTGTGCCTCTCTTCATATTCCTATAATTTTAATCGTCAAATCTATGAAGAACTCAACGAAAAATGAACAAAAAACATCACGGGATTGAACTACGTTATCTTGTAAGAGAAAAATTAAACATGTCATAGTTAAATTAATGTAGCGTTGCT